CTATGACTCCATAGCTAAAACTATTTTATGCTTGGACAAACCCTTGACTTACCATATATCCAAGACTAAAAGGCCTATAATTCTCTGCTTTAGTTTCTTGGCTTTTCTGTCCCTGTGGGGCCACCTTCCTTTCCCATTCTCTGACAGTGTGTTGTTTGACTTCTTCCTCCCATATTCTGTTCACATCTTTCTTCTATCTAGATGGTACTCTTCAACTGTGTCCAGTTTCCTTTGTCCAATACATCCAGGTCAAAACATTTAAGGATCATAGATTTAGAGCTAGATGAGGCCTGCCTCAGAAGTCCACCCCTTTCATTTTACCATTGAGGAAATTGAAACCCATCGAGGTTAAGGACTTAGTGAAAGTCACAGTTAGGAAGCATCAGAAATGGGGTTTGAACCTGCTGCAGACTCCAGAATCAGTGCTCTTTCTATTATAGCACACTATGCTTTCCTGATTTCCCCTTCCACTACGTTATTCAATCTTCATTCTGTAGTTATACATGGTTGATTTTTGCTTATATGCTGCTTGATATGCTCACCATCTTGTTTATAAAGTATCTATATAATATATATATATATATATATACACACACACACACCAACTGCTTTGTAAACTTCTGAAGGTAGGACTCCTGTCATTTGCTTCTTTTGGATTCCCCGATAGCACCTTATATAATACTGTACACATAGCAAACAATCAGTAAATAATGAATGAGCAAAGGTTTCCCTATCTGTAATTTGGGCACCCAGCAATGGTACTGGGCGTCAGAGATTGCAAAATAGCACTTTACCTATGTACATTATACAATCCCACACAAAATATTTGAGATATAAAATTAGGATACACAGCCAACTCCCAATTAAGTTGATATGTGGATCACCCACAGAGAAATTTTAATCCCAGCCTAGGTTTCACCTAACAGAGTTGTGTACACTCAAGAATTACTAGGCTCATTATAATGACACAAAACATGACTAGTAAGGTAAAACTGATATCAAATCATATAATGCATTTCAAAGCCAAACAGAAATGATCTTTCGATTATCTGGTGTTTTAGATTATCTGCATCACTGGCCCACTTCATTAATGAAAATAATTGGGAATTGACTGCATATATACATGCATAAAGTACTCTGACACAGAAGCTATACTGATAGATGAAATTATTATTACTTGCAATTCATTATCAAAATGATGTAAAGCACACAAACTATTGGGTCACCCTGATCTGTAATTTACTCTGAGCCCCCTCAGAGCTCTTCTGAGCCCCATGGCACATCCTGGTTGAGAACCCACTGGGGCTATGGCTACAAGGCCAAAGTGAAAGGAAAGAGCTGAGCCCCTTAATTTGGATAATTAATTTAGAAAAATGATTCTTTAGCCACTGCAACTTTTAAAATGTTGCTTCTTGCTGCCACTTATGACCTTCCCAGTCTTGGAATGTACAACTCAGAGGAGAAACAACCACAAAGATGCTAAACTTTTCTACTGATGACAAAAACAGCCCCAAAATACTTGAATGTAAGTGCCTTAGGACACTTCATGGACACAAATGACAAATTTCTGAAGTCTAGAGATGAAAGCTTTTTTCATTGTGGTTGTGTGTGTGTGTGTGTGTGTGTGTGTGTGTGCTGGCGCGGACGTGCACGTGAGAGAGGGAAAGAGAGAGAGATTGAGATCAATTTATACTGAACCATACTTTCTTGTAGGCACATAAGTGGCTGCCAAGGCCTAGTTTGATCAAAGCTGTTCATGTAGTTAGTGGCCCAACCAAAATAATCAACTCTCTTTTCAATTCTCATTCATACTTATGGCCCATCTTCCACTACCATGAGCCAACCTTGACCAAATCCCATAGTATCATATAGACTTGGATGCAGGGAATCTGTGGCCTAAGCTGTAGGGAAGAATTCTTCTTTCCCATTGTACTGTCTTGAGCAGCAGTTGGCTTGTAAGAGTACTTTGATGTCAAAGAGGCAAAACCTATATAAATATAGAGGTAAATAGGTAGACTGACTATTTTGTGTTCGTTAGGGTTAATGGTACATTGCCTGAAATGGATCTCCACTGAAATTTGTATCCTTCTGGAGAAAAAGAATAGCATGACTGGAACGACAGACAATTTAGTGACCGGTATAAAGCAGGATGGGCTAAGAAAATAAATGTCCCCATAAGTACAATGCTGTAAACTCAGAATGCTTATAAGACCAGTTTATTTTACAAGGCTAGAAAAAGCAAAATAGGCATTTCAGCATTCCCCTAAAAGAGGAACTATCAAAAATTATAACCTCTCCTTCAGGAAGCATGCAGTTTGGTGTGACTTTGAAAGCTGAAGAAAATGATTATTCCGTGTGTGTGTGTGTGTGTGTGTGTGTGTGTGTGTGTGTGTGTGTGTGTGTGTGTGTGATAAGATTGAGTCACATACTTAATCTATCATCTTTTGATTTAAGCCATATAGATGGCATTTTACATCTAGCCAACTTTGCTGTTGGTGACAGGCATAAACAACACAAACATTACAACTCCTTATGAGAATTTCAGCCACAAATACCATCAGACATTGTAATCTGACATTTTAATTAAGTGCTTGTAGTTGTGAGTATCTCACATCTTATATGATGCCTTTAACTCTGAAGAGTTAAAGATCTTAAAGCAATGTCTCCTGGCCCTGAAACCCAAGCAGATACAAGTGCTTAACTGGTCAAAAGTTAGAAACCCCACAGGAGTACTATGAGAGCAGTACAGGAGTAAAGAGAGGTAAATTTTGTATTTAAAATTAATATAAAAGATTAAGGAGTTTGTTCCATTAGCAGGTGGACACACTAGGTGTTCTAATGATTTTCCAGGCATGTATGAGATGGAATTTTATCCCTTCTAAGAAGCAGTCTGGCAAATAGTCATTTCTTCATGGTGCATCACAATTCACATTGCATAAGTAAAAAGACTGATTTCATTTATTTTTGGCTCCCTTAAAAAAGTGGTGGATGTTGGGGGAAATAATAAGCCAAGTGATCAATCTAGGGGACTTATTTACAAGAATGATTCAAAATAACAATGTTTAGAATTTTCCAAAGGCACAACAGATATTTATATTCCGAGGAAACAATATGGACAAATTATCTTTAATTTCTAAATTTAACTAGCATCAGTTCATTACCCTATACTGTAGCAGGCAACCAATCAACCCCTTTTTATCACTTTCACCAAAAACATTCTGCTTTTATAAAGGTGACAATTTACCAGATCTCTCCTAAGTAATGTTTCATGCCTAAACACATTCAAGTGAAATAAATGGCATTTTAGAATATACAAACAGTTTAAAAGGGGAGTTAAAAAGGCTTCTGAAAATTAGCAGATATATGAATTATAGGACATTTTAAACCAAAACATCTTTTTAAGCAATTCCTCTTTTAATTGAATATACTTTTCCCCTTTTAAGCATCTAGGGCAGTTGAAATCCACTCCAGTATAGGAAGCCAGAAAACACTCTACTACATATTTTAGTGAAGAGATAATGTCTCACCAGGTCTTACAGAGAGAAATGGAATCCTGAGATTGGATACTTAAGAGCATTATCAAATTTGTTTTATATAATTTAATATATTGTACTATCAATTTAAATAGTGTGCTTTGGGGTAAAGGGTGTCTCATGTTACTAATTTGAGACTTTAACCATTTTTTCTACATTAAAAAAATCAAGTTCCCTTTAGAGAATATAATTTCTGACCACAAAAGGATATGACTGCAGCATCTGTTGGATATACAAATTAAATGGTTTCATAGTATAAAGGAAGGCTTTGATTTCAGAATTGGAGAGTTTAGAAAGATCATGAGGTGTTTTTATTTTATTTTAATTTTAGATCACTGTTCCCTTCTTTCCATTGCCTATTCCCTCAGAAACAATGTAAGAACTAAGTAACTGGAGGGAAAGGCCATTCTTTATTACTAGCTGGGTAAAACTGTCACTTGCCCTAAATGAGTAGTTATTTGCAAATTTCCATTTAATTTGTGTTTTTGAAATAAATCATAGGTGCATAAGTCATGCAACTAGAGTATGCTATATATACTGTTTATCTTTTCCTTCTTTCACTTGCTGGCTGACAGCATATTAGTAGGATTTCCTAGTAATTATTTAGGTGATACTTTTTGGTATAGACTTAAAATTACATTTGAGTTTTGTTCCAACATTCACCTAATAGCATCTAATGAAGTAATTCCTTTCTACCCAGAATGTAGGTTAAACTATTCTGAACCATGTTAATGAAGCAAAAACAGAAGCTATTGTCATGTACATAGCATACAATTATGCAATTTCCATTTGCTAATATCCTACTATCAAAAAACCTTTTCTCTGAACTCTATTCTTCACATCACTCTTTTCGATAAAAAAAAAATAGAATCTTTATGTGGAAGAATGAAAACTACTTCTAGTAAGCTTTCATAAGGCACAGGTTTCTCTCAGACAACATCTTCCTATAGCCTAACATCTCTATCACAGTAGGTTTTCAGTGATTTTTTGGGGGCCTATTATACTCATGTATATTTTATATATATACATACACACAGATATACATGTATATACACATACACACAACATATATATATACATCCATATCCCCACATACAAAATATGTGAGCCCAAATATGTCAAATAGCATATAAATGCTGTCTACATCTTTAATCCTCTTTTTCATTCAGTATTTTAATATTGTAGTCTTGATTATGCTGTACGATTTTAAAAGAAGCTTCATTCAACATAGTCTTACTTTTCTGGATCATGTATTATTAAAACTGGAAATAAAACATCAAAGTCAGCAAAATACCTAATGTCTTTTTATATGGCAAAGCCTAAAGGCTTCAGCTATAACTTAGTGAGACGACTCCAAAGATTTATATTATGGACTTTTACTAAGCTTTCTAGAGTGATTAACTGCAGCATGTGAAAAAGGATATTGAGACCTGGATGGATGCATCAAGGAGTATCAATGATTGTTACCTGCAGAGGTGTTACAAGAAATTTCATCTGCTGCAACGAAGACGAATTGATTTCTGCAAGAGAAGATAAAATTCACAATACTGCTTGCTCACTGGGAAATGTGCTATCTGCCAATTGACTTGATGTGTACAGATGGGGGGAAAGGGAGGTGCTTCACTTTAATGAATGTAGCGAGAGAAAGGGTTGGCGTAGTTCAGAACAGGAGAATTTAGATCATGGATAGGCATGCTGGGACCTTTTAAATGAATTAATGGTGACCTCTGAACACGGACTACTTACAAACTTTCAGTGGAATCTTAGTGTTTCGTGTCATAAATGTGTCATGCTAAAATATCTTTATGAGGGTAGGAAATTCCAAACTACATGTATGTGAATGTATCTTCTAAAAGATATGAAGATATGTAGAGAATCTACTTAATAAAAAACAAATCTACTGTAGCTAACTGAGAAATTAACTAAATTTAGGCTTTAAATTGTCTAATATGATTTCAAAATAGAAAAACACTTTTTGTTAATTCAGAAGAGAATTTGTTATGACATGTTCTCATATACTATAATTTCAGTATTAGAATAGCCTTCCTACATAAAGTGGTATCATAAAGTAAATGAGAGAACTTGATTTGAAATAAACTTTCTCTTGCAAAATTCTTTTTTTCCACAATGCAGTATAAAAAAAGGAACAATGGAAAATGAACTTTAAAATTATTTCAATAAACAGAAAATAAGGTAAAACTCTCTTAAGAAATCACAATTTAGATAACATTTTCCCATGAAAAATTGAAATCTAGTAGTAGCATTTGAGGCTGAATGTTTGCCATGAGTAAGCTTGGTGTGACAACCATAATTATGATTGGTCCAGTTAACAACACTAGTTAAATGCTATAGAAACAGCAAAAATGATGTTTCTAGTTCTCATCTCTGAGATTCTACTATGTTGATCAGCCAGCTTTGACCAAGGAAAATGTCTTAGATCCTGATCTGTTTTGCTATGGTTATGGAGACCTGGCATTAAAAGTTTTTATTAGCAGGTCACTTAAAATCTCTTAAGAGGGTTTTACTAAAATACAATGTATGCTCTGAGATCTACACATGGATATTTTTCGGAATTCCCCAAAATGTAACATTCAATTCAAAATTCTATTAACTTTTAAACCAAGTAACCCTATGCAGAAATAAGCTTGCATGAGGATCTGTATTTTGGGGGGCTTGCCTACCTTGGAAGTCAGAGCCAACTCATTTACTTCATTTCCCAAGACAATAAAGCAAGCCTAATTATGTTCCTACTCTCTGTTTCTTCATGCATAAGACCTTTGTGACTTACAAATATTGGTAGCTCAGTAGGAAGGTTCAGATAATAGTAAAACTAAAATCAATAAAAACCAAGATGAGCTATTTAGGATATATTTGGTTTGCCTTCTCTGACTTCCATAGTTGTAACAGAAGTTGTAGAGTAGATTCAGAATGGACTGAGATCAATGTATGCTGTACTTCTCTCAAGTCCAGGTGACTGATTGTGCTATCGTGAGCTATGTAACATCAAACAGCCTAAACTGGATGTTTAACTTAAAAACCAAAATACCTATCTCCTTCCAGCAGACCCTCATGATTCAATCAGGGACACATCAGCTTCTTGCATCTACCAGATATCCTAAAATCTTGTTGTCCTGGGTACCAATTCTGACAGAAAACTCTTCCAAAGAAGCTGCTTCCTTCTTCCCCAACTCTCCATTTCCCTTAAGAGTCTACTTAGCTCATTGGGCATTAATTAAATTTGGCAATTAAAAGTGCCACTAGCAGGTGTACCAGCAGATGCAAGTCTCATTTGTTGTATCTGTGAGTTAGTGGGAAAACTATGAAAAGAGCCACAAAGACGTAGAACTATAAAGATGTGATATTAAAAAAAGCATAAGCATACTAAGATTTACATATCCAAATGAGTATTGTGCTTCAAAGTTGTCATGCTGAAGGCTATAAACTGATTCCAAAGATGTTACCACCAATATATTTTTGTTATTTTATTTTTGAACTGCTCTCAGAGCTAGTTTATGAGGCCTATTGGTTTTACTCACCTTGTCTGACAGACTTGATTTTATTTAAGAAAAATCAACTCCACCCCCCAAATAATGACAATCTAACACTTCAAAAGAATGCGTTGAAGGCAATTCTGAAAGGATTCCAAAAAACGTTCTGAGCAAGGGTCATATCACAGTTATACTCTCTCAAGTTAACTGCTTTTCAAGGGATGATACTCAAGGATTAATATGTTGAGGTATGTTTTTGTTTTCTCAAAAATCAGTTATTATTTTATGCTCACAACTTGTAGCTTAGAAAACTGCTCTTCTACAGAGCTCATTATGACATTTATCAATGGAGCAAACTAATTGTAAGCTAAAGATTCCCAACCTTTTTGAACTGGTTCTCCAGCAAAAAATCAAGTGGAGAAACAGTTTATGGTAATAGAACATGTATATAAAAAGTATGAGACTGGAGTTATCCTAATAGGCAGAGCAGTTCAGGTTGAGTTATACTAGGCATCTGGTCATGATCACAGTGATAGTTACTGACGACCATTTATAGCATTTTTACCAATATCTCCATTCTTCCTTTGAAAAAAGGAGATAGAACCCAATGCGGTTTTAGTATTTGAGAATGAGAGACTATCATTACACTTTCTGTTAGGCTATTTTCCCTAAGATACAAAGAAGAGAGGTAGTGATACAGCTAGATGCCCAATCAAAAATATTCTGAAATATTCTTCTAATCCTTTGTAAATTTAGAAATGGACTGCTAGAATATACAGCACAAAAAAAAAAGAATATGTTGAGTAGTATTTATGCCCAGAGGGGGAAAAAGGAAGCAGCTTACAAAGGATTTCTTCCTTATTCTATCTCTGACTTGTTCAGTATTGCCTTTTGCATTATTTTTTGCAGAGTGTATCCTTAGAAATAAAATTTCAATAATGAGTAACATATTTTAGCAAGTTGACAGGATCCTACAAGTTTAGAAGGCCTAGATAAAGTGATTGTTTTTCTATCTATGTAGTATTTTGTGGAATCTTAGAGGACTCTAATAGCATTTTGGAAATACCCTTTGTGAAATTAGCAGAACCATCATATTAGCTTTGCTAAAGGACTAATGCCACAGTCCCTTGAGACTTTCAGGTTCAACTCTTGTGGTCACTTCTGTCCCTAGGGCATCTAAGCTGTAAAGGAGCTACTGAGGCATTTGCTACAACTATTTTAGATCATTATTCTCTTGGACTAACCTGGGAATATTTAATTCTAGGGTAATGAGTTCTGTAAAAATGGTCAGCTCCAACCAGGGGATAAATTGTACAAACCTAAATTTTTGGAAGGAGAGCCTATATTACCTTTCTCTATTACCTTTTCCTGCTTTCTCAAGGTAATTCTCTCTCAGCTCCTTTCATACATTCTCCCATTACTGGAAGCATACCTTTTCCACCATTTATTTTAAATAGAATTATTTCTAACTCTAAGAATCTTCCTTAATCTTATCCAAATTTCCATCTCAAATCCTACCTTCTTCAGGAAAATTGCTTGAATCAGGAAGATTTTTGCAGAAAGAGAAGAAATCCTAATTTCAAACAAAACTACCCCTGTCTCTATTTTAGTGCCTAAGTTACTTTAAAGAAAGATGAATTTGTGTTGCCTCTTTAAAATGTAAATTCCTAGAAGAAAGAAGCCACATTTTTCTAGGTTTTACACTGTAAACAGGCAATCAAGATCTTACCATATGGTTATTGGACAAGGAGTTATTGTAATAGCAGACTGAACCTTCTAATTCTAAGCACTGAAATTTTGCCTGTTTTACGTTCTCTTCCCTCCCCCTACACTAAGTATTGCCTTTTATTTGAATAGACTGAAATTGAGGCTTTGAAATGAAAGAAATGTCATGCCACAGAAGCATCTTGGGACAAGCCAAAGCTTTCAGATTGAAGAGTCTCCTCTGACCACATAGTTTAAGGATTGATAATCAATTAAATTTTTTTCTTGCCCCAAATCAAACTCCAAAATGAAATTTTCAAAGGTTACACTTGGAGTATATTGGACTCAGTCAGGTTCTTCTCTTAAATCATGGTGGTAACAAATGTAAATAGAGTTGATGATGATGATGTGATGTACAATTTGGTTTTTCCTCCCATAAAACAACTGACTGCTCACTTAATTACTTCTTCTGAAAATTCCCAATGATTTACTTCTTAAAATTGAGTTAAATATTAACTCTTAGCCATTCTCACTAGTGTCGATATAGGAATCAATATTCAATTTACATAGCTAAACTGCTGCATGGAAAAATGGTCAGTCAACTGGGAGAAAATTCTTTAGTCTTTTTTTGTTGTTGTTGTTAAAATAACTAAAAACTAGCTAGCATTTATATTGTGCTTTCAGTTTTTCAAAGTGCTTTATAAATATTATCTCAATTTATCCTTACCACAACCCTGGGAAACAAGCACTGTAATTGTTCTCATTTCACAAATGAGGAAACTGAAGCAGGGAGAGGTTAAGTGACTTGTGCAGGGTCACACAGCTAATAAATATCTGAGGCTGCACTTGAACTCAGGTCTTCCTGATTCCAGGTTTAGTGCTTTATATGCTACATCTCTTAGCTCACTGCTATTAGTGCTAGTAATTTTCTTTATTGGTTTAATTCTATTATTTTGTCCTGATCTTGTGGTTTGGGTCATGATGTATATATACTATTCACTGGATATGTAATGTGTGAATTAGACATTTAAGTTACTGCCTGGATCTAGTGTTACAGAGAACTGAATTTGTATATAAAAGAAACATACATTTAAAACTTAATTTTGTATGTTTAAAAATCCAGGCAAATACATGGGTCTATATTTTAATTACTTAATACTAGGGCTAACGTAACATACTAATTTGGGCAAAATATCTAGAAAGGGCAATGAAGTTTCCAGGTATAAATGAAAGCAAATTGATTAAAAAAATGTTTATCAAATTGCATGAATCAGTAATAGAGAATTATCTTGAGTCAGGCCTTTTGCCTTCTCTCTGTTGGCACTATG